ACTATCTAGCAGCACCTTGCGTGCTTGGGAGCCCCTGCTTGTCCCCAGGCCACTTGGTCACCTTCCCAGCCTCTTTCTTGACTGCCTCTGAATCCACCAACCATCTTCGTCATTGATTCTCACCTTTGCATTGTGGTGAGCCTCAACCGTCACCGTGCAACAGCCAACCAACAGGGGATCTGTCTGAATGGTCCATGCTGAGAGGACCATTTTTACCCTCCCTCTGGCCAGGATCAGTATTTTTGTTGTGTTACTTATGACTGCAACCTTTTTCAATTTTTATCAGTTTTATATTGGCTATTGGGTGGCATCCAGTTCTCCCCTTTGGGGAGAAATGAGGGACTATGTAAATTTGTTTAATAAATGAATGCATTGAATGAATAAATACAATTCTCTGTCCAAACTATCTCAACTGTAACTTCCACTGAACAGCTTGGCTTTGCACCATCTGGTACTGAATGTTGATTCTTCTGGTTGTCCAAGATAACCTCAATGATTTCTCAAGCATAGTTCAAAGCCATCAGTTTAATAGTTGAATAAAAGGCATACTTGGTAGATGATACTTAAATACCTTGTTCCCCCCAAAATAAGACCTACCCAAAAAATAAGCACTAGCATGTTTTTTCCCCTGTGTGTGCCTAATATAAGCCCTACCCCCAAAATAAGCCCTACTTAAGAGCCTGCACAGCTGGCCGCCTGCCCATTCCATCTGGTTGCTTGCAGTGCCACGGTCATGAGGAGGGGTGGTGGAGCTGCCCTATGTACCCTAAGCCAGCTTACCTCAGGGCTCCTGCAACCAGGCCATCCACACCCTGACACCTGTCTTGGGGTGGCAGCACCAGCAGCCATGTGTAGCAGGAGCCCATGTAGGCACCAGCCCACTTCTGCTTGCTCGCAGCTGCAACGGAGCAGGAGGTTGAGTGGTGTGCTGGGGCCACGGCCACGAGGCGAGGCAGGCGTCAGGGCATGGATGACCTGGCTGTGGGTCACTGAGGTAAGCCAGTGCAGGGTACGTAGGGCAATTCCACCACTCTGCCTCGCTTTGTGGCCATGGCACAGGTGCGTCACTCAGCCTCCTGTCCCACTGCAGCCATGAGCAAGCAGAAGAAGTGGGCCCGGGGCCACAGGATGTCCTGCTTGATGGGGTTGTCAGAGCTGCTGCCACAAGGTGAAGCAGGGGTCGGGCCATGGGTGGCCTGACTGCAGGGGCCCTGAGGTAAGCCGGTGTGGGGTACTGGGGCAGCTCTACTGCCTCGCACTGGTGACACTGCTCAGCCTCCTGCCCTGCTGCAAGCAAGCAGAAAAAAATGGGTCTTCCATACATGGGGTGAGGGAATAAAACACCCCCCAAATAAGCCCTAGTACTTGTTTGGGGACCCAAAAGAAAATAAGACCCGGTCTTATTTTCTTTTGGGTCCCAAAACAAGCACTAGGGGTTCTTTTGGGGATGTTTGATTCCTTCACCCCCATGTATGGAAGACCCATTTTATAAACAGTTAAGTACCTGTGTTTTCCTGAAAATAAGACCCGGTCTTATTTTCAGGAAGGGTACTTAACTGTTTATTGGGACAGTTTGAAATTAAATTTCAAAGACATTGATCCAGATACAAATCTAAGAACTCTGAACCTTTTCTCAAAGAAAAGAGTAGAATATATTGTCAAACAGAGGGAATAGAAGATAGCACTAGCAATAGCACTTAGACTTATATACCGCTTTATAAAGCTTTACAGCCCTCTCTAAGCGATTTACAGAGTCAGCCTCTTGCCCCCAACAATCTGGGTCCTCATTTTATCCACCTTGGAAGGATGGAAGGCTGAGTCAACCTGGAGCCTGATGAGATTCGAACCACCAAATTGCAGGCAGCTGGCTGCAGCAGAAGTAGCTTGCGGTACTGCACCACAGAGGCTCCTATAGATACCAGTGCAATTGGTTGGAATTCAAAGGTTTCTTGGTGGACAGATCATTTGATGCTAGATTGAAGTTTTGAAATGAACCTGCCGTCAACTCATAAAATATTTCTATGGTCTTTTTAGCATTGCCAACAGAATGGGAGGGGGGAGCAGTGCAGCAGCTTGCAAACCAGAACTGCATTCCATAAATAGTTTTTCAAAGATAGTAACTAGGTGACTGAAGTTTCTGCCCCGCAAAATTCTAACTGGAGAGCATGATTGATGACTCTTGGCTATGGAGGTGTCCCATTGGAGAATATGAATTATGATACACCCAGGGGGTGGAGGGAAAACCAGGGTCAAGGGTGACAATGAATGATGTGTCTCAGAGTCGGCTACACTCAGGCAGTGCCGACATGTTTACTCCCAATAAATCCTTTTTAAGTTTTGGAAGTTTGGCTCGAGACTCATGATTGAATTGGGGGTAACTGCCAGAATCCTGACACCTGCATCACCAGTGAGAGAAGTGGAGAAAAAGGGGGTCCATTTTTCACCAGAAGCATGCCTGTTCCCGACCTGGGTGATTGAGCTGCTGCTCAAAGGACAATCACAAAAAGGTTGAGGGCATCTCTGAAGGCTCCCCAGCCTGCTCACACATGGGCCAGTAGAGCAGAGGCACTCAATCTGGGAGGGGGAGAGAAGAAATGGATCCCCTCCATTAAGCAGGTTGCTCTGTGCTGTCCAGCCAGTGTATGGGAATTGGATAGTTAGTTAGCAATTGTGAGCTGTCCCCTTAAGGGAATGCATCATGGTAAATGTAGTTAACGTATCCTGGGAAAAGTAGTCCATGTCCATGTCACGTGACCACATCTGTAATCCTGATTGGTCACTAAATTGACCCTCGAGGGGTTGGGGGAGGTTTCTTCACTCTTGCCTGAACTCACGGACTCATGGTAACTATTGCTACAAGATGGGAGGAAAGGGATTAGGAGATAACCATCTTTTTACCTACAAGACAGATATACAAAGGATTGGACATTAAGAAGAACTTCGTCACAAATGTGAGTTATGAGGATACCTGATGAACCAATAATAAAGACTTTGTATGAATGTTTTGTTGAGTTTATCTATCTGCATCTGTACAGAAGACAAAATCTACCACTGTACAGAAGACAGAAGAGGCTCCTTTGAGTCTCAGGGACAGGATTTGACCCAGGAGCTCCATCAGCAGAATCGTCATAAGGCTTTCTCAACTCTGCTCTTGAATTGAATCCTGGCAAAACCAAAGAAAACCTGTAGATAACAAGGGACACCTGTTGGGGATGACTTTTGTGCGATGGAGGCACAACCCACAAGCAAAGGCATGGATGCCCTTGACATGTCTACCCAATAGGGTGGTCTAGGTAGAACAGGGGTCTCCAACCTGGGCAACTTTATGACTTGTGAACTTCAACTCCCAGGAATACTGGGAGTTGAAGTCCACAACAGAGGTGGTATCCAGCAGGTTCTGACCAGTTCTGGAAAACCGGTAGCAGAAATTTTGAGTAGTGTGGAGAACCGGCAAATCCCACCTCTGACTGGCCCCGCCAACCCATCTCTTCTCTGCCTCCCATTGAATCCCAGCTGATCGGCTGGGTCTTCTTTGGTTGCCCTGCCCAGGGGAACGGAGCTGGAAAGCAGGTTAGTGGGGTGGGGAGGGAATGGGGATTTTACAGTATCCTTCCCCTGCCACGTCCACAAAGCCACACCCAAGCCAAGCCATGCCATGCCATGCCCACCAAGCCATGTCTAGTGGTGGGATTCAAATTTTTTTACTACCAGTTCTGTGGGTGTGGGCTTGGCTTGGCGGGCATGGAAGAGGAAGGATACTGCAAAATCTCCATTCCCTCCCCACCCCACTAACCTGCTTCCCAGCTCCGTTCTCCTGTGCAGGGCAACAAAAGAAGACCCAGCCGATCAGCTGGGACTTGGGAGGCAGAGAATTGATGGGGCGAGGCCAGTAAGAGGTGGGATTTGCCAGTTCTCCAGAACTACTCAAAATTTCCACTACCAGTTCTCCAGAACTGGTCAGAACCTGCTGAAGACCACTTCTGTTCTGGTCCCATCAGAGCCCCACACAAATCATTCATTTTATCTGGCTCAGGGAGGAGCGGGTTCATTTATCATTTTAGAGTAGTGGTTCCCAAAGTGGACGGTACTGCCCCCTGGGGGACGGTGGGATGCCTTAGGGGGGCACTGAGAGGCAAGGGGGCCGGCAGGGGGGTGCTAAGAGGCGGCACGGGGGCACTGGAGGTGAGCGGCAGGGGTGAGAAAAAATCCCGCCGCCCCCGCGTTCGAGGCAAGGCCCCGCAGGATTTGCACGCTCTGGTGCAAGAAGCAACAGTGGCGGCATGTTTGAAAAGTGGAGCAAAGCCAGAGGTTGGTAATTTTTGCTGCAAAGAATCACAAAAGCTTCTGGGCTGTGCACAAGAAGGGACACACATGTCAGTGCATTCAGCAACATAAAATAAAGAGATACAAATAAAATAAATCAACAAGAATCGGCAAAGCATCTCTGATTAGATTTTATTCACTACTAGAATCTAATCAGAGATGCTTTGCCGATTCTAGTCCAATGACCTGCTCCAGCAGGGTTAGAAGGGAGTGTGTGTGTATGCGGGTGCATGGCTGTCAAAACTCCAAAAACAGGTCAAGTAGCTCTGGGGAGGGTAGTCATAAATTAGAACACTTGCTAAGCAACGGGCCATTAAGTGAGGACCACTTGTATTTGGTTTGCTAGTCACCAAACCACGCTCACCCAGTCACGTGACCAGCAAGCCACGCCACCAGTCACATGACCAGCAAGCCATGCCCACCCAGTCATATGACCAGCAAGCCACGCCCACCCAATCACGTTACCAGCAAACCACACCCTCAAATTAGGCCACGCCCACAGAAATTTGAATCCCGCCCCTGGGTGGGGGGCATTGAGGATGAATTTGTAGCACCAAGGGGGCGGTGGAGTGAAAAAGCTTGGGAACCGCTGGTTTAGAGGCTTGCAATTTTGTAAATTTTGAGAACTGTGGTCTACAGAAATAGCAATTCCTTGTATAAGGACGGCCTTTCAGTACGAAGAGGTGGATAAGCTTGAAAACAGGAAGCCGTGTAGACCATCCGCCTCCCATCCTGAAAGGCCACCTTTGTTCTTCTCCTTGCAGAGACGATGTGATCCTTTTCCCCACTGAAAAGTGGAAGCAGAGTTTCAGGAGGAGGACAAATCCATCTTGATGCTGGTGAGGTCAGAAGTCAAGAATCTTCCCCCATTGGGGGAGGGGGAGGGAACAGGACACTTTTCAACTCCTCTTTTTTCCTCCTCCTGTCCTGTTTTTAGCAGCGCCGTTTTTTGTCGTGTTCAGGGAGTCGCCAGATGCAACAACGTCTCCGGAGTTGGCTTTGCAGCTGTGAATTAAAACCAGGTGGCTTTCCATCTTATGGACCTTGTCAAGCTATATTCCTTTCAGAGGGGTTTGAAACTGCCTGCCGTAGTTAGCCCTGATCTCTTCAAGCTGATGTCCTCTCAGTGCAAAATGCTGACCCAGCAGAAGGTTTCAATCTGGCCATCTCCCGGGCAGTGGTGGGATTCAAAAAATTTATTACTGGTTCGGTGGGTGTGGCTTGGCTTGGTGAGCATAGCAGGAGGAGGATCCTATAGAATCCCCCTTCCCTCCCCACCCCACTAACCTGCTTTTCAGCTCCGTTCTCCTGCACAGGGCAACACAAGAAGAGCCAGCCCATCAGCTGGGACTCAATGGGAGGCAGAGAATAGATGGGATTGGCAGGGCCAGTCAGAGGTGGGATGTGCTGGTTCTTCGAACTACTCAAACTTTCCACTACCGGTTCTCCAGAACCGGTCAGAACCTGCTGAATATACCACCTCTGCTGCCGGGCACATATTTAATAAATGGGTTATCATTTCTCTTTCAACGGGATCTTGGGCTACATGTAGTTTGAACGGAGAAATTGACTGAGGTTATTTGCCACTGTTCTGTTAGGGGTCTCCAACAAGGCTCCCATTCTCATCTGAAATAAGGGTCCTTCATGGGACTCCTCCATCCATCCTTCCATCCACCCGTTCTTTGAAAGGCAAGCCAAAATAGTGGACGCTTCTAGCTGGGCACAGCCTGGTTCTGCTGAAAGTTCTGCTGCTCTCTTTTCAGCTCCTGCTGCTGCTTCTCACCATCCCAGGACGGGAAGAAGTCCAGGCACAGAGCAAGCTTTTTCTGCAAGAAAGAGGGGTGGGGGGAGCAGGAGGGGCTTGGCTCCCAAAGTTTGCCAAGTCATTTTACTCTTAAGAGCAAAAGTGGGATCCGGCATGAGGGGAGCCCTGGCCAGGCTGTTAGTCACAAACACAACTGTTGGTCACCTGTTGGTCACCTCCGGAGAGGGTCTCCTCCAGGTTCAGTATACCCAGAGCTGCACCAGGGGGGCTGTCCGGATGCTCTCTAGAGCAGCGGGTCTCCAACCTTGGACGTTTGAAGCCTGGTGGACTTCAACTCCCAGAATTCCCCAGCCAGCAAAGCTAGGCATTTGGGTACCAGGCTTCAAGGGGCCAAGGTTGGAGACCCCCTCCCTGCTCCAGAGCCCCAAAGCGCCAGCATCCACGGGCAGAGAGAAGTCGAGGGTCTCTCGCGGAATCCCCGGAGGGAGGGAAGCGGGAAGAGAAGAGAAGAGAAGAGCAGGAAGGAGGGAGGGAGGAAGCGAAGAGAAAGAAGGGGAGTCCCGGCGGGCCCCCGGCCCCGCTCGCTCACCATTTGTAGCCCCTTCCCCGCTTGAGCTTGAGCGTGAGCGCCGTCTCCAGGCACAGCAAGAGGTTGAGCAGCGCCAGCAGCCAGTACTTGCGCTCCTTCTTCACCTCCGCCACCCGCCAGACGCCCAGCAGCGCGTGCAGGGCGAAGAGCAGCCGGGTGCCCAGCGCGTTCAGCAGCACCATCGCCTCCATCGCCTCTCTCTCTCTTTCTTGCTCTCTCTCGCTCTCTTTCTTTCTCTCTCTCTCTCTCTCTTTTTTTCTCTCTCTCTTGCTCTCTTTCTTTCTCTCTGTCTCTTTCTTTCTTTCTCTCTCTCTCTTGCTCTCTCTCTCTCTGTGTGTGTGTCTCTTTCTTTCTTTCTTTCTTTCTTTCTTTCTTTCTTTCTTTCTTTCTTTCTCTCTCTCTCTCTCTCTCTCTCTCTCTCTCGCTCTCTCTCGCTCTCTCTTGCTCTCCGCGCAGAGGGTCCGGCGGCGGGCAGCAGAGCCCGGCCTCCTCGTCCCTCCCTCCCTCCCTCTCCCGGACTTCCTGAAAGGGGACGGGGTGGGGGGACAGACAGGGGCGGGGAGGACAAGCTGAGCCAGGCGGCCGGAGGCGGTGCCGGTGGGGTGCGGGGCTTCCCGCGGCCCCTCCGAGGGCTGCGAGGAGCGGCGAGGTTCCCACCCCTGTCTGGCGGACTGTGGCAAGGAGTCGCGGGGGCCTCCCGTCCAATGCAACATCCCGGCCGGCCAGGACTTGCAAGGGCTTCGCATCTCCCCGAAAAGGGCAGCCGGACAGGCAAATCACTGACCCAGGAGAGATTCAACCTGGAAATAAGGAGAAACTTTCTGACAGGGAGAACAGTCAACCGATGGAACAGAAGTTGCCCTCGGAAGTTGTGGGAGCGCCATCACTGGAGGCTTTTGAGAAGAGATTGGACTGCCATCTGTCAGACATGGTGTAGGGTCCCCCGCTTGGGCGGGGGGGTTGGACTAGATGACCTTTAAAGTCCCTTCCAATCTCTCTCTCTCTCTCCCTCTCTCTCCCTCTCTCTCTCTCTCTCTCTCTCTCTCTCTCTCGTTGAGAGATCCAGCTCTGTATATAGATACAGACAATAATCAACCCATGGAACAGAAGTTGCCCTCGGAAGTTGTGGGAGCTTCATCCTTGGAGGCTTTCAAGAAGAGATTGGACTCCCATCTGTCAGAAATGGTGCAGGGTCTCCTGCTTGGGTGGAGGATTGGACTAGATGACCACCAAGGTCCCTTCCAACTCTGTTAATCTATCTGTCTATAAATGGGTCAAACACTCTTTTTACAGGCAGGAGGGTCAGGGAACCCTTCAGGAAACACACAAACACACATAACTTTGGCTTGTGCTGAAACCCGAAGTGAATATGGGTGCAAGACACCCCCCCCCCCCCCGGCCCCATGTCTACAGACAACCTTGATGGCCTCCACATATTTCATTAAATTATGGTGCGGGAGGGGATCGCAATTGCATCGGAAGTTTGGGGAAATGCTATTGAGCACCAATTGCCAGTATGGGGTTGCAACTCCCACCTTGAAAATTTTCTGAGGATTAAAATTTAATATCCCCACACTTTTCCCCCCCACGTCTTCCATTTTCTCTACGATTAGTTGCTGAGTTAATAACACATGTTCCTGGAGGATTACAGTCAATGATCAAGAAAATTAGATGTTGTTTGAATTTAATTTAGTTATATAAAGCTGCTACAGTAACTTACAGCTTTGATATTTAATATTTAATAAGCTGGTTCTTCAAAGAATCCTCTCAGTAATTGTCTTGAAATACTATCCCCAAAAGCCATTTATATTTTCTAGCTGAAAAACCTCTTTGTCAACTCGTTTGGCTCGATATGAACTGTCTGATGAAGATGACAAGTTCGTTTCCTTCTTCTATCCAAAATCATGAGATGCTTGAGGAGAACTCAGCCAAGCTCTCTGACAAGGAGACACCCTGGTCTGTGGTTCCCTTTTCAGAGGCTTCTAATTCTTCATTGCCCAATGAACACGATTTCATCAGAATTGTCTATCAACTATCACTTCTTTGCATTCTTGCAAGGTTTTGCTTGGGTCATCAGTGATGATATCTGATCTTCTGTCAGCTTCTTTTCCAAGGATCCTCTATTCCAGAGGTCTCCAAACTTGACAGCTTTAAGGCTTGTGGACTTCAACTCCCAGGATTCCTCCTCCAGTCATGTTAGCTCTGGGATTCTGGGAGTTGAAGTCCACAAGTCTTAAACTTGCCAAGTTTGGGAAGCCCTGCTCTATTCCAAGGGTTTCAAACTTCAACTCCCAGAATTCTTGAGCTAACATGACTGGAGGAGGAATTCTGGGAGTTGAAGTCCACAAGTCTTAAAGTTGTCAAGTTTGAAGACCCCTGCTCTATTCCTTTAAGCAATAGCAAAACCAATACCACTTAGGCTTATATACAGCTTCACAGTTATTTACAATGGTTTTAAGAGTCAGCATATTATCCCCAAATAGAATAAAATAGAATTCTTTATTGGTCAAATGTGACTGGACACACAAGGAAGTTGTCTTGGTGCAAATGCTCTCAGTGTACATAAAAGAAAAGATACATTCATCAAGAGTCAAGAATCATCAGGTGCAACACTTAATGATAGTCATAGGGTACAATAAGCAACCAAATCATACTAGGAAACAGTCAATATAGATCGTAAGGATACAAGCAACAAAGTTACAGCCCTACAGTCACAAGTGGGAGGAGATGGGTGAAAGGAGTGATGAGAAGATTAATAGTAATAGTAGTGCAGACTTTGTAAATAGTTGGACAGTGTTGAGGGAATTATTTGTTTAGCAGAGTGATGGCATGCAGAAAAAAAGCTGTCCTCGTGTCTAGTTGTTCTGGTGTGCAGGGCTCTATAGCGTCGTTTTGAGGATAGGAGTTGAAACAGTTTATGTCCAGGATGTGAGGGGTCTGTAAATATTTTCACAGCCCTCTTTTTGACTAGTGCAGTATGCAGGTCCTCGATTGAAAGCAGGTTGGTAGCAATTGTTTTTTCTGCAGTCCTAATTGTCATCTGGAGTCTGTGTCTGTCCTGTTGGGTTGCACAACCAAACCAGACAGCTATAGAGGTGCAGAGGACACTCAATCATTCCTCTGTAGAACTGGATCAGCAGCTCCTTGGGCAGTTTGAGTTGGCGCAGAAAGAACAATCATGGTCCTCATTTTACAGACCTTGGAAGGATGAGTCGACCTTGAGCCAGTGAGGATCAAACTGCTGGCAGTCGGCAGTCAGCAGAAGTAGCCTGCAGTACTGCATTCCAATCACTGTGCCACCACAACTCTTGCCGAGGACTCTCGTCTTTGCATTATGTGCCCAAATTAGCTAAGCTTTTCCCTTCATTGATAGTGCTTCCAACTGGCAGCCTGGTTTTACTTCTACTAGTATTGGGTCACTTGTTCTTGTCGTCCAAGGATTCTCCATAATATTTTCCAGCATCGCACTTCAGTCTGCATATAGTTCTGGGGAAGCTACAAGGGGATAAAACCCTTGTCTGAAAAGACCCAGAATCCAGGAGGAGAAGAGACAGCATGTCCAGAGTTCTGGCTGATTGGTAGCCCCAGACCTGCCTTCTGTTCCAAGCCATGTTTCAGAGCCGTGTGTTTTCTCTGGGCATTTGATGCTGGCCTCCCCTCCGTGCCTCTTACTTTTGCAGGGGTAGCTCTGGCCAGAGAGGCAGGTGATGCAACACGAGCTGCAGAATCTAATGAAACTCCCAGCTTATGAGAGAAGAAAAGTATCTCTTGGGATACTTTTATAAGTATAAAAGGACTTTTTTTTGCAAAGGGTTGGCCAGATGTCATTTCAAGATTATTCTCTCTCTCTCTCTTTCCCTCCCTCCCCCTCCCCCTCTCCCTTTCTCCCTCTCCCTCCTCTTCTCCTCCCTCCCTCTCTTTCTCTCTCCTCCTCTCTCTTCTTCTCCTCTCTCCCTCTTTCTCTCTTCTTCTCCTCTCTCCCTCTTTCTCTCTCTTATCCTCTCTCCCTCTTTCTCTCTTCTTCTCTCTCCCTCTTTCTCTCTCTTCTCCTCTCTCCCTCTCTTTCTCTCTCCTCCTCTCTTTCTCCCCTCCCCTCCCTCCCTCTCTCTCCTTCTCTCCCTCCCCCCTCTCCCTCCCTCCCTCCTTCTCTCCTCTTCTCCTCTCTCCCTCTCTTTCTCTCTCCTCCTCTTTCTTTCTCCCCTCTTCCTCCCTCCCTCCTTCTCTCCTCTTCTCCTCTCTCC